CCCCCCCCCCCCCCCCCCCCCCCGTCGTGCGCCTTATTTTTGTACAGACCCACTCCGTCATCCTCACGAGCGGCACGCTCAGTCCTCTCCACTCTCTAAGGGCTGAGCTTGGCAGGTCTTTCGGCGAAAGGCTTCTGCCCTTCCCTCAACAGGTAAATAGGGAACAGGAGGTGAAGGCAGAACACTAACGCAGGGGGGGAGAACACGGGGGAGGGGGCACGGAAACGAAGAACACGCTTCGTCGCAAACAGATTTTGGTTTTGGTTTTGTTTTCGTTTTTCTTTGCGAACGACCCACGTACGTACATGCTGTGCTGTGAAAGTGTCTTGACGCCGACGCCGTAAAGCATGGTCGTTCTGCCCCTGCCGGTACTCGCTCGCAACCGGGGCACAAAGCAGCAACAATGACCGTAGTACCGTCACCATCACCACCAGCAACAGCAAAAACATCCCGACGAAACAGGCGCTGGAGGCGAACCACGTCATCAACCCTGGCCGACAGCTGCGGGTCATCCCGGTGGGCCATTCCCCTGACAACAAAACTTTGACGTGAGTGCGACACTTGTACTAATAATACTCAGTAGGATGTTTATGGTATACCGTAAGTTTGCGAGTCAGCTAGAGCACAGGGGTGCAAGCTATTTTCAAAACGTGAATTTCTCCGCAACCAGGAGGTTACCACTGTCGAACATGGCGGTTTTGGAAATATCTCTTCGAGAGCTTTCCTGAGAAGTATCAGTTGGCGCTCACACCCTTCTGGCTGCAGAGAAATTACGCTTTGAAAATCGATCGCACCCCTGTGCGCCGACTCGAAGCCTTACGGTACTTCATCAATCGACAGCTACTAAATATCACGGTTTTGCTTGGTTGGAAGAAAACTAAGCCAAGTTTTTAGCCTTAGACTGGTGGAAGTTGTGGACTGGCCATCAGTATGTCCGTTCTCTGGGTTTCAGAAGCTGCATCTCCACGGGAGTCTCTTCGTTAGATACACAGCCGCCAGTGCATTCCTTAGGCTGACCCGTGACGATGCAAGTTTCCGTACGTGACATGACGGAAGATACCACCCACCCCCGAACCGGTTTTCTAAGCTCATTACTCCGCGACGAAGAGCATGCCGCACTCAAAACGGCACGCGTTTGCGGAAAGCTCTCGGTGAGACGGTTCCAACGCCACTATTTTTGTTCGCCACTGCCTTTGCCGCAGAGTAATCGAGGTTTGAGTGGTTGCGACGGTGCCTAGTAATGACTGGTTCACTTGTTTGCGCTGCTGCTACAAGACGCCGTTGGAGAGCATGCATGCATGCAGTAAAAAATTGTGGCGTGTACAGCACTAACGATGTCTTGTGTGACAGAGCCAACAACCGCATGCAACAAACGTTTGCGATCCAACATCTGAAATCCCATATTCGCGATCCCCATTTTCCGGCGGCGCCGGGCCGGGCCGGGCCGGGCCGGGCCGGGTCGTTCCACCATCAGGTGCAAGAAAGTCAACACGGACGACGACGAGTTCGTGGAGGAGATCGGACGCACGGTGGTGGCCTTGGCGAAGCACATCCCCGCGGGAGTGTTGGTGTTCCTGTCGTCCTACAAGCTGCTTCAACGGGCTGTAGCGATCTGGCGCAAGTGCGAGGTAAGCGGAGAGCGGTTGAAGCTCGCTCGCTTTTGTTTGTAGTGGCAGTGAAAAGACCGCTGTTGTCGGTTGTCGGTTGTTGTTGTTGTTGTTGTTGTTGTTGTTGTTGCGTCATGTGTCGCGTTGTTGTTGTCGCGGTGGCTGTTGTAGGCGTGGTGCTTGCTTCGGGAATGTTGTTTGTGGTGTGGTGATGGTTGTGGTCGTTGATTTTGCTGCTGCCCTGGTTATTGCTGCTGTTGCTTAGGCTGAAAGAGGCGTCAGTACGCGTTTTGGTCGCCGGCAAAACGAGGAGAAAAGAAATCATGACCGATAAAAAAGAATAACATTACAAGTGAATAAGTTGTTGCCAAAATCGTGTGTCATTGAGAGTATTCACCCGCTGTGCCTCCCACGCTTTCCACGGCACCGCCGCAACTCTCCTCTCCTCTCGCAACGGCAGTGCGAACGTACACGCGCACACTGACTGGCGCGCGCTCAAACGAACACCGCAATGTCGGGTACCCTCTCCCTCTCGAAAAAACCATACTTGGAAGTATATTAGCAGGAGTATATTTTGAGATTGTCAGCAGTGAGCCAATCAGATGAACCGGTTCCGGCACGGAACATCAACTACCATCAACTACCATCAACTACAGAGCTATCCCCCCCCCGCCAAACGCTACTTGACATCTGTAGTCCCCCCCGTTGAACTTGTCTCTTTGGTTGGAACAACGAAAAGGTGTTCAAACGAAGGAAGGAATGAAAGGAACACATGATGTCGGAGACCATGCAAGTTTTAGCACGCACTCGTATTCGACTCCCGCGGGGCAACGACAAAATCCGCGCCTACGCCGTCCCCTGGACCATCCTCCTCTCTGCTGCCAGGGTCGACCCTGCCGCCCGCCTCCGATTTCTTCCTTCCTACGTCGACGATGGGACTATTAATAGTGTCTGAAAAGTCCGAGATGTGCCTTTACTAAGGTCGAATTTAGCAGTGTTTGGGCCCGCCATGTCTGTCAAGGCGAACCGGAGCACGGCCTAGGTTACGAAAGACACCACTCCCCCTGGACGCAACGATTGGCCATCGGCGATCGGTCCTGTGGGATCAATGCTCCGTCCTCTCGAGGACGCGTGATCAATGGTCTAGTCGCTAGGGCATGCAAAACATAAGAGTACCCCCCCCCCCCCCCCCCCCCCCCCCCCCCCCCCCCCCCCCCCCCCCCCCCCCCCCCCCCCCCCCCCCCCCCC